TTAAGGGCTTAAAAGCTGTTAAAATGGAGCAAAGCATGGACGCAGCTGCAAATCATGAGAACTTTTGTCAAACTTTAGAGAACTTATTTTCAAGTCCTCCATTCTTGAAACCTTCCACAGCTGTGAAGGATGACCAAAACATTCTGGAGCTTAATATAGGTTAACTATCTTTTGTTTCAATCATCCTTCCGTCTACCTCCCTTCTCATTTTGATTGTAATCTAAATGTTTTGGTGCAGATGATCTTGTAATTAATGAACCTGTTGCACCTGTTGCTATCTCATCTTCATCTTCATTCGAAAAGAACAAGAATGAAAAGAGAGGTAAATATATTTTGTTTTCTAGGTCGACGAGTTTTGAGTGCTCTTGATGTTCCCATGTTTACTTCACAGACAAGGGAACAGAGAAAGGGAGATTATTTGAAGGCGCAACTAGTGACACAAAACCAAAAATGAGGACAGCTGAAGAAATCAAGGCTAAATACAGAGATACTGGGGTAATTCACGAAATTTTCCATAAAAGAAAAAATTAATTAAATAGTGAATATCCCTTGTAAACGCTTAACCTGAAGAGACTCAGTATTTGTAATGGAGATTTGACTGACATGGCCGGTGGTTACAGGATGTCGCTGCAGCGGCCGCACATGCAAGAGATAAGCTTGCAGAACGTCAAGAGAAACTTGAGGTCTGGTTTTTTATTGTTTGATGTCTCAGATCATACGATGCATTCATATTCCATATCAATACATTCAGAATTTGTGCATTGTGTAGTTTATTTTCCAACACTAAGCAGGTCATGATTCATCTGCTGATGAGCATTTCTTGTTTGCATGTATCAGAAGCTCAGCCAAAACTCAGAAGAACTGCGAAGCGGGGCAGAGGACTTCGCATCAATGGCAAAAGAACTCGCCAAGAGAATGGAAAATCGTAAATGGTGGCACATTTAGTGTGATTTAAAAGAAAGGTACCCCAAATGAGCGTGTCCTGTCCATAGGTGGCCTTTCTTGAAGTATCTACTGTGCATTTCATTTATGTTTTTGCTAACATTCTTTCTGCTTACCAAACTAGTTTCCTTAAATATTTGGGTTTGATTTGGTTTTGGTTTTCTTGAATGAAATACTCATACTCTTCTGGTCTTTGATTGATCAGATTCTTCCGACCAAAACGAGTAATGACTCAACAAGTGGGAGAAATTCATAGAGAACAATTGCATGGACCACGTGCGGCTGAATTGAACCATTTGGTTTCCAAGATTGATTTGGTCAGCATTTGGGTCAATCGTCCATGTTTTTCTCACTGAACAGAACTAAAGTAGCAGCTTCAATTATAATATTAGGACGGTTGGTTGACTGAAGCCACCATGTGAAAAATTGGGTCGGTGTCCCCGCCATAAAAACCTTTTCCCCAAAGTATATCAGGCACCCAATGTTCATATTGTTGTAAAGTCAATTTCTTTTCTGTTTTTCATCTCATGGGTCACAGTCCAATAAACAGTTTAAAAAACAAAACAAAAAACTTGTGCTTCAATAGTTAGGCCTGTGAAATAAAAGGGAAAGAAAAATTAACTGGAGCCAATCTGATGAAGCCGACCTGAGGTGAAAAATGAAAACCAAAAAAATTACCAACCCTGAAAGTTGATTGACTTTCAATGGTACAATACAAGCGCAACAACGACTTTGACAGAGACCAAAAGAAAAACACATAATTTGACCATGTCCGTACCCGCCTAATTTTGCTTTTGGTTGGACCCGCTAGCCATAGTTACATGGTCTAATTGAACTTTGTTTATTTTGGCTGCAATTGAAAGTTGCTTTTATTTTATTTTATTTCTTTTCTACGCGCACCAAGATCCATATATATACAAATCAAGGCCTTCAAAGTAACTAACTGAGCTAGGCAAAGGCTTTATCATTTAGCAGCGGAGAGAGGAACAGTTGCAAAATACGATAGAGAGAGACAGAGAGAGAGAGAGAGAGGACAAACAACAAGAAGCCAAAGTTGTTGGACGTGGAGGAGAGAGGCCCTTGTGTTATCTCCTCATTTCCTCTTTTCTTTTTATGGTCGCCTAGTTCACAGCTTCATAATATCTCAAGCCTGCCTGAGACACCCAAAGCTCAAATTTTTTTTTGTATTTGCTGCATCTGGGTCTCTCATGGCAAGTTGGGTTCTCTCAGAATGTGGCCTAAAACCTCTCCCTAGAGTCTACCCTCAAGCCAGGAACGGCCTAACATCAAAGACCGCCATTTTTGCCAATGCTAGGACATTACGAGTCTGCAAAAGCAAGAATCTTGGCTCTTCTTTGAGGGCCTCGAATGGGATTCGAGGGACAAATTGGGCACTGAATGTGAGTGCTCCATTGAGGGTTCCATCTGTGGATGGAGGAGATAAAGGAAGAGTGAGTGTCAATGGGGTTGAAGATGGTAGTGATTTCGACCCTGGTGCTCCACCTCCTTTTAATTTGGCTGATATTAGAGCAGCCATTCCAAAGCATTTGTGGGTTAAAGACCCATGGAGATCCATGAGCTACGTTGTGAGAGATGTTGCTGTGGTTCTTGGGTTGGCGGCTGTTGCAGCCTACTTTAACAATTGGGTTGTTTGGCCTCTGTACTGGTTTGCTCAGGGGACCATGTTCTGGGCTCTCTTTGTTCTTGGCCATGACTGGTAAATAAAGCTGCTTTCTTCTATAATCTATTGAATTGCCAATTTTCAAACTTTTTTTGTTATTGAGGATTTGGCTTCTTCCTTGGTCATGGAATTGTTGGCAGTTTTCGATAAGCTAAATGATGTGAATTGTTTGTTGTTTTGTTTGTGCAGTGGTCATGGAAGTTTCTCTAATAACCCAAAGTTAAATAGCGTGGTGGGTCATTTACTTCATTCTTCAATCCTTGTCCCATACCATGGATGGTTAGTATTTCTGAAAATCCTGTTCACTCCTGAATAAGCTATCTTGTTTTTGAGACAATATACAATTTTAAACATATTTTTAACATAATAATACGTGCCATTACTATCACAGGAGAATAAGTCACAGAACTCATCATCAGAACCATGGACATGTCGAAAATGATGAGTCTTGGCATCCGGTGAGTTTCTATTCATGGTTATCTGTCTGGTTTTTTTTAATGAGGACAGCAAATTGGTTACCTTGTAGAAAATATAAGTTTTCTCTTTTCAGTCATTCAGTCATTGAATTAGTCATATCCATCATCTGATTTTGCAGTTATCTGAGAAAGTTTACAAGACTTTGGATAAGGCCACTCAGATATTGAGGTTCACCTTGCCATTCCCTATGCTTGCTTACCCTTTCTATCTGGTGAGCCTTCTGTCTTGCTTCTTAGTTATTTACATAATTTAATGAGCTTGGGGATTTATTTTTCTGATTCGGTACATGATTGGCTCTCATTTTGATCCAAAAAGCGACTTGTTTGTACCAAATGAAAGGAAAGATATCATTACCTCCACTGCCTGTTGGACAGCAATGGCTGCGCTGCTAGTCGGTCTGTCTTTCGTAATGGGTCCAGTCCAAATGCTTAAGCTCTATGGCATTCCATACTGGGTATGTTCTATTTCTTTATGCTTGATGTGCATCTACATCATTAGCAGAAAACGAAAATCTATACCAATAAGACTTCATTCTCACATTTATTTCTTTGGATTTGCGTTCAAATGCAGTTGTTCGTCATGTGGTTGGACTTGGTCACTTACTTGCATCACCATGGCCATGAGGACAAACTCCCATGGTATCGTGGAAAGGTAAAGTGTTCAACTTATCACCTATACAATACAATAAATGTCAATGCTTTAGCACTTATTGAACTGTATAAGGCTAATGTTTGGTTCTGCATTTATCAAACAGGAATGGAGTTATCTAAGAGGAGGATTGACAACCCTCGATCGAGACTACGGATTGATCAACAACATCCATCATGACATTGGAACCCACGTCATACATCACCTGTTCCCTCAAATCCCACACTATAACTTAGTAGAAGCAGTGAGTACCACTAATGCCTAAACACCAATTAGCTGAAAAATATCAATTCAATTCTGTACACCATTTTGATTTGGATCTTGTTCATATTAATCGTTTCAGACGGAGGCAGCTAAGCCTGTGCTTGGGAAGTACTACAGAGAGCCAAAGAAATCTGGGCCTCTCCCACTTCACTTATTGGGAGTTCTTATAAGAAGCATGAAACGTGATCATTACGTCAGTGATACTGGGGATGTTGTATATTATCAAACTGATAAGAAACTTGCTGGGTCTGTGACATCAGAATGAAGTTGCCAAGTTGATGTGAAGTTGAAGTTTTCAGGCACAACAATTGAAGCGTACCAAAGCTTTTTAACTTCTTTGTGACCAGTTGTTTTTAACTACCAACAAATTTCCAGCTTTGTTTTAATACTGTCTGGGCAGCCATTCTTTCCTCACCATGTATTAGGATAAGAGGTACCTCGCATGCATAATTGCAGGCTGTTAAATTGTAACGCGGGCATTTATAGTGAAAGTGTATGATTTAGTTCTGAAAGAAAAACCTCCCTCTCTCTCTCTCTCTCTCTCTCTCTCTCTCTCTCTCGTGTGTGAGGTGTGCATCCATACGTTTTTGTGGCAAGTTGGGCTGCAAGGAATGATAATGTTTAGATATTTTGATCCAAAAGAGAAGATAGCATTTAGACTCTATGGATTTTGAAGTCGTGCCTGTGCCACATCTCCAAAGAGAAACACAGGGGAGGGGACCACTTTCCTAGAACCAAAGTCATTGTATTTCCTTTATGAAAAGCGGCCAGTCCAAATTTTGTAAACATCATGGTAATTACAGGTGTTTGATGTTTCTACGTGAAGAGAAAAAACGGCAATACATTTTGTCAATTAGCCCTAGTTTCATCCCACCATCAGTTGGCCAATTGAATTCGACTGCTTCATAAGCAGCTTTAATTGCAACGCTTGTTTTTAGAGGATAAAAGGTAATGCAGAGTTGAAATAATTGACAAAGTGTGTCCAATAGAAAACAACCAGCTGTAATTCTTATTTTTTGGTACCAAGAACGAGCCACAATGCTTAACCAATCAAAAAAGAACAATATTATCAGACCACTTGCATTTTGGTCTTCTCTCTTTATTTGATATCTTCTCAACAAACAATACAGAAGGCCCAAAACGTTGCCCTTACATAACAAATTAAATGGATAACCCGCAGTAACAGATTTATATCAAGCTGATTGAGTCTTGAAAATTTGAACCGTTTCCTCTCAGATTCAGTCAGTAGTTTACTGAATGTACTGCACTCATGAAGGAAGATATTCGCAATTCGTCCTTCTGGATGCCATCCGGGCCGCAAATGCCACTGCTAACATCAATTCCTTGAGGTTTGAGGGTAGAAAGAGCCTCACAAGCATTCTCAGGCTTTATCCCTCCTGCCAAGAGCCACCCATGTTTGCTTCTAATATTTGGTAGCTTAAACTGGCTCCAATCGAATCCCTTACCGCTGCAGGCATTTCAGAGTGAAGTGAATCAAAACAAGTTTATATGATATTATACATTTAAACTGTCATTTAGACAATTGCTAATATGAATTGACACGCATAAAAGAAGACGATGTTTGCGAATTAAATTTCCTTACCTACCACCCTTTGCACTATCTACAAGAACCCAATCAACCAGAGAACATTGCTCAGCAGAAATCTGGTTGAGAAGAGTTCCATCTTCATTAGCATGAAGAACGTATATTATAAGGTGATCTTGGGCTAATACTGGAAAAGCTGCTCGGGAACCATCTCCATGAAGCTGCAGAACCTCAAAAGCATTACAGGTTTTTGTTACTTACAATGCAGCATGTGCAAGCTAATCACGAGACAAAATGTTTATACCTGAACAAGTTCAAGGTCTGATGCATCAGCGGCTCTTAATATTGTGTCTGCATCATCATCCACAAACACCCCAACGGGCTGTGCCCCATAATCTCTTGCAACTCTTGAAATCTCCTTGGCAACAGATAGTGAAACAGAGCGTTTAGAGTTGGGCCAAATGATCATCCCAATAAAATCAGCACCAGCTTCTGCTGCCATAGCTGCATCTCTAGCAGATGTAATGCCACACATCTTAACCAAAGGTCCATTCTTTTTACGTTCCTCGGGCTTATAGGAGACACCTTCTGCCTTGATAGCTCCGCAAGTAATCGTTTTCTTTCTATGCAATTTGGCACTTGAAAAGCACAATGGGTCCTGCTTTAAACCTACAAATACATAACAACGTTGCAAAATGTTTAATCATGTGTAGGGGGAATGATTTAGATTAACATCTACTCATCTTGGATATGTCATGCAAACAAAGACATAATTGAGTTAACATAAGCTCTAGTCTAATGATCATTGTAGTCCAAATACCAGGAATTTGCCTTGTGTGACAGATTCTGACTACGTCAGGCTGAAAGTGGCTTCCAGTAGTTAATCCTGAAAACAAAGAAAATAATAATAAAACTCAATAATCCAATGCCAAGAATGCTTCATATTTCCACTGGATTACACACAATGTATGAAATTAGTCAATTGAAATGATGGTGGCAAAGAATTGATCTTCTCCATGAATCCAATCTTCTACAATCATTTAACAAAACCAATCTCGACTTCAATGTAAGAAACAATGCTTTCCTTCAAAATCTACACATATCAACCAAACTTATTCACAATGTCTTCTGTCAGAAAAACATACAACATCATACTCATATTCACATTCACAAAAGCATCTCTTTGGGGCAATTCGCCGAACAGTTTGAAAGCACTTCTACTAAACACATACACAGAATCAAAATGCAAACCTGTAAGCATATTTTCTCCCACAAATAGCGAAGAAATGTACACAGGAACAACGTTGAAACGCAGCGAAGGGAACCTCCAACCAGTTTGTGCAAAGTTTCGTACGAAGGGCGACGCTTGTGCAAGGCGGCAATAAGGCTACTCTTTTAGTTTTTTTAATGGGTTGGGTTGGGGTTGGTAGCCAAAAACGGAAAGCGTGAGGTGTGGGCCGTATGACTACAATTGTGGCCCAAATTTTAGTTTTCATCAACCCAACATAAGGAGCTTGTAATTTTTGACCCGAAACCCACAAGTCCTTTTATTTTAAAAAAAAAAATTAATTCTGTTTTGGCCGGCCTAATATTTTAAGAGTTTTAGCATAATGCAATTTGAAAGTCGTTCTTCTTGAGCATTATTAAAAGAAAGGTTATATAAAAAAAAACATGATTATCAAGTTCAAACCCCAATTACATCTTAGTTATGTGTGTGAAAGAAACCACATTCTCCCTTATAGTTTAGACTATCGCTTGTACTATAAAAAATAAAAAATAAATAAAAAAAAGAATACATGCAAAGTTATTCTCAAAAAACAAAAATACATGGTTTAGAGAGAAGGACCAATGGGGTCTAGCACAGTGGAAAATGACATTGTCTTGCAGACCACTGGTCTTCCGTTCGAATTATCATGGCATCTTGGTAGTATGTGTGAGAAACCTCCTCTCCTTGTAGTTTATACTATTATTTATTTTATTTTTTTATAATAAAATAAACATGATTACTCATAGCAACTGTTACTATTAGTGAAAAACACATTGAAGATCAAACTATAAAAGAGCTGTTTATTATCAAATGTTTAATGTTGGGTGGAATAACAGTTGGATTCAGGATTTTTTTTCCTTAAGATAATACTTAAAGTGTTTTTCATTATAAAATAAAATTGAGGAATTTGTAAAAAGAAAACAATAAAACAAAAAAGAAGTGGGCGTCTCTCATCCTCCTTCCTAGTACCACCTCTCTATGGAGAAAAGTTGGAGGAAGCTTCATTTATTGGACTTTGGGACACTTTATTTTTGTTTGGTTGAGAAAAAAACTCATGGGCGGCTGGACCAGAAAACCCAAAAGCTTCTTTTCAAGGACAAACGTCAAAAGCTGGGGCCCCACACGCCATTTGCTTCCAATTCCATTATAAACAAAGTCAGATTGCTGCGTTTTTCTTTCCTGGCACTGAGACACTCCAGCAAGGATATGTTGATGTTAGCTTTCCATAACCATGGTCTACATCTCTGTTGCAGAAAAGACTACCCAACTTCCATTAATAGACAAAGTGCTTAAGTGCAACCATTTAAGTCTTTTGATTATGTTGTTTGGCCTACATGATATTAGGATAATGTTTGTGTTAACCAACATAGCTCGTTGTACAGAGTCATTGATGATTCACAGCGCAGTGTCTTTCTTCTTCTTTTTTCTTTTTCTTTTTTTTAATAGAGAGGAAGGAACTGAACACAATACTCGTTCGAGTGTAAAGATAAATGCTTTTAACTTCTTTTTCCTTCTTTTTTTTTTAAACAAAGAGGAAGGAACTGAACACAATACTTGTTCAAGTGTAAAGATAAATGCTTTTAACTGCTTCAGTTATTAAGCCTGTATAAAATCCATGCGTCTTTAATTGGTCTCTAAAATGGAATTGGAGCTAAGCTGGACTGGCCCAATGAGATGAGCTAGGCTTGAATCTGATATTGGCAATGAACTATCTACCATCTAGGTATCCTTAGAATTTTATGAATCAGAATACTCTGGTGGACAACCAAGAAAACCAAGACGGAGCACAACAATTTGATAGAACAAATAACACAAACCATGGATGAACTTCAAATGAATTAATTGATAGATCACAAGTTTACAACACAGAAACTTTCATTTTCCGTATGAGTTGCAAGATTTGATCAGATTAAATAAGAATACATTCCTGCCACTGATGCATTTATCATCTCTGTGGAGAACTAGTAATTAACATCTCCCAGATGGAGAGATAAATAAATAAATAAATACAATATAATGAAAAAATATAGCAGCTTCCTTCTATCTGATTTCTCCAAAGTCTAGCCTAACTTGATCTCCTTTATCCTGCCCGGAACTTCAAGGCCTTGATTGAATTGAATCGGTTTGGTGTAGCTTCCCCTTTCTTAAATTACAACTATAATTTTATCGAATACTAATAAAAACTCGGAAGTATCAACTTCTTCAGGAGAAGCTAGGAGCCAGACTTGTCGCTTATGCCCTTTGCTCCTGTTCTATGTACATCTGCTCCGCCCATGGGGGAAGCATTTCATGAACCCCCTTATTGAGGTGATGATACTTCTGCTCAGACCTCTCAGAAGAAACATCTCTAACCAGGGAATTGACCCAAGAGACATCTGGCTCACCAACAGCTGATGGCATAAAGGTGGTTGGTGTTCCAGCATTGCTGCTTCGGAACCCAAAAGAAGCAGACTTCTTCAGCTTGTTCAGCTCATCTCCTTGAATTCCCCAATCCAATTTCCCACCAGGAGAGCCCCAATCTGAAGACTGCATCATGGTGGAAGAATTAGCAGGGGCAGTGAGCCCACGAGGATGGCTCATTGCTCCACGGTCGATAAAACTGTGACTTCGCTGTGCAAATGCAGCAGACCTGGAATTCATAACTGCTGCTGCAAGAGCCCCAGGTGAGTCAAGCCCAAATGAGGAGGGCTTCCTCACCGGAGAGGATGACAAGTTAGTTGGGTAGCTTGATCGAAGTTGGTTAATGTTTTGGCGAATCTGATGCGCAGAAGATTGTAACTGGGTTGGTGTTGAAGGCTTTAGAGAAACTCCCTGCAATTGAGACAATAAAGAAGGATCGAAGGATCCAAAAGCATCGTCAAGGTTAGTTGGCTTCAAGTCTCCAATC